CGTATTGAGATGTGAAAACAAGAGAGGAGTTTATGTGCCGAGATTTTTATGAGACTTCGGGGGAAAGAGTGATTACAAATGAATATACTCGACTTATTGTCCGCAGCCTCCCTTGAAAACAATATCATTGCGAAAGCTTGTCACGTGCCCTGTTTGTAAATGAGGTGAAAACGACTGGAGCTCAAGCTCATTGCTGGCATCTGGTTTGTGGCGCTCTGCTTGTATTCTCGGGTGACGGAGAGTGAGAGAAAGCTGCGGAGGCAATAACAAATCAGCACTCTCATAAAAGGGCCTCCAAAGATTCATTCTAGACATCTCTGTTTAGGTCATTATACACGCTCCAAACTTTTACTCAAGTCTTTGCGCCGTGCCGCGGTGGTTGGTGGTCAGTGGGTCCACCCAGTCGCTGCAGAAGCGCCGACATGCCAGCTCGCACCGCAGCGTCGTCCGTTCTCAAGTTTAAAAGTAGCCCTGGTTTCCCAAATCCTCTTGGCACCTTATTATAGTGAGTCTCAGTTTATTGCTGGTAAATTCATCCCAAGACCCTGTTTAACCGAGAAGGGAAACCAGATTGTTTGGTGTATAACATGTTATTAGATTTTCTACTGTTTTGTATTTCATGCTCTCTGCTTTGAATTACAATTCAACTTTGTGTCCTTATGTCCCGTTTCCCTCCCTTCATCTCTAATCCATCACAGCAGATGTCTGCCCCTGGGTTGGTTCTGCTGGAGGTTTCTTCCTGTTAAAAGGAAGTTTTTTCTTGCCACTGTTGCCAATTTTTTCCTTGTGGGGGTTGTCTGTTTGTTGGGGTTTTCTTTGCATTATTGTAGGGTCTTACCTTATGATACAAAGCACCTTGAGGTGACTGTTGTTGTGTTTTGTGCACTATATAAATAAAATAAAATAAAACAAAATTGCATCCCCGTATCAGCGTAGATGTGTGCCACTCTTGTCTCTAAGTGCTGCCTTTTCTTCTCCTTTGTTCTCACTCATATGATGAAGCACTCTAAAGAAAATCCATGTATGACTTGATTCGACTTGACTTTTGTTGACTAAAATCCTCTGGGCTTTAAGCTGGTTAAAAGCCATGGGCTCATGTTGGTGTTAGTTGTGTCACAACAATACATGTCACAGGTGCCTAGTGCCCACTCGCATTTTCTCAGACTCCCACAAGCACATGGGAATATGGTAGGGAAAAAAAAAGATTGCTTGTTTATGCTGAATAGATGTGTGGACAGCTCATATTTGAGTGACAGACTCATGACCTGCCACAGTTCTTTAGAACAAGTTTCTAATCAGTAATAATGGACAGCAATATGCACTAATTTTGCTTTTAAATGAATGGATTACGCATGCAAAAGACATCTATATTAAATACATTACACATAAAGACACATATTTGTAATAAATACAGAGGATTAGTGGGGACACAGGTTCTGTCTTGTTATTTTTATGGAGGTATTCTTAAGGAATAGGATATTAGGATTAGAGAACTACATAAAGGCACAAATTGCAGTTGTCCACCTAATGCCTTCAAAGACCCAATTATGTTGTTCCACTCATCCATGTTTACAGCTGAGTTGTGTTGATCTTTTTCCTTTTTTTGGCTGAACTAACGTCGATCATCTCGGCACTCTGGACTGACCTATAAACAAAAGCAAAAAAGAATCCTGCCCCCAAAAAAGAGCTTTTTAAGCCTCATTTTTAAGTCCTGGTGACATCAGTCCATCTGTACACGTTCAGTTTCTTATCCAATTTAGGGCTGTTAGTGGGGCTGGAACCTGTCACCGCTCTCGAGGCAGGGTACACCCTGGACAGGTCTCCAGTCCGTCACCTGGCTAAGACTTTGAGCCAAACTCTTTCCAGGAAAGTTTGAGGCTTTGTTTTTCATTGAGGCAAGTGTGGCTGTACAACTGATTAATGCATCTTTGTTCCACTCTTTTCAGTCAGATGCAATAGTCCGTCCCGCTGCGCATTCACAAATACCAATTATTGTAGTTTTAAATTTGAACCCTTTAAAATGCTTCAAATATAATATAAATAGGTTTTGTGTGCTTGTGTGTGTCCAGAAGGTGGAGAAACTGAGTTTTGACCAAAGTAAGGAGATTTTGGTGCTGCACTTTCTTTATGACCTCCACTTACCAACTGGTTTGGGACATGCATTTTTCCCTTGTGAGGTTGCTGCCCGGTTGCAAACTGGTTTCCTTGTCTGTGAGACTGAGAAATTAAACAAAACAATTCAGTAAATGAGAATCTTATAGTTTATATAACTTTTGTTTGACAGTTTGTTGGACTTGACTCAAGTGCAGACTTATGATTCCACGACTTTTCTGGGTATTGCCCTTAATGCAGGCCCCACAATTTTATTTTCTAAGTCATATAATTATTACATGACTGCTTTTCACATACCCAAAGAGCATTCGCTTTAAATTCACCTGTATGTTTAATTCAGGGATCATTTCAACCGCCGCTGTCTTACTTCCAGCCAAAACACAGATGGGGCTTTATGGTACTTTTTTATTACTCTTTCACACCCTTCAGATAACACCAGTGTTAACGATTATGAAACTAGAAACCACCTGTCACATTTGCTTAAAGCTAAAACAACAATTTTTTTAAGTGCAATATTCCATATTAACGGAACAAGTTTGAACACCTCGAGCCTTTATCCGAAAAGTCATGGACTAATAATGAGTGACTCTCATCCTGCTGTACCCTGGCCTCTTCAAGTTCAGCAGGTAAATATTTAGTGAGGACTGTGATCGCTTGCAGCCAGGGTCTATTCATCTCTGTCACAGAGTAATAATGGAGATCTGTGAACACTAATGTGCACGAGGGAAAACACAAGAACATGCTCTGCAGACAGACACGTTTGCGTTGCTTGACCAGGACTGACTCCATCCCTTCATTGTGCACTAATGAGGTTTTATTTTGAGTTAATACTGCAGCACTATTTTAACAATAATGTTCAGCAGGATTTCATAGTTTCAATTAAAGTTGTTTGTGCCATTCAAAACAGGCTGTTGGTGTGAAAATATAGCCGCTGCCAGACAGGAAAACCTTTATAGAACACACTCGAGTACATGGATCTGTTTTCCATTAAGAACATACAAGTAGCTCAGTGAACAGTCGTGGCTTGCATCCAAGGAAAGGTTTCCTTAGGGTCTATTAAAGATGGATCACTTCAAATGTTGATGTCTGCTACATCAAGTGACTTTTCTTTGGCTTCCCCAGAGGTCAGCTGGTGGGTAAGATTCTCCTCTGCACTTAGAGGTACGAGGTAAATATACATCTGTGTAAACAGATGTGACTGACAGTCTGAGGCGGTGTCGTGGGAGCACAAGGGTCTCCATATGTGGATAAACAGAGAAGGGAGGGTTGTGTCTTTCTCAGTATAGCATGCTCTTATGGAGAAAAAGGGAGTCCATGTTTGCCTGTCAAAACGGAAGAATAGGAAACACGGGCTGCTTGCAGGGTCAGTGGGAGCGGCTTCAAACCCTCCTTTGTGCTCTCGGGCCTGTGCCGGAGACAATGTGGATAATGAGGGAGGATTTTGGCCCAGGGTGCAATGCACATGGACACACAAACACACAGGGGAAGCACCTCACCCTGGCCCCGGGGAACCTAACTAGCCAGCTGTCTCAGCTTCTGTCCCCCTGGGGCCAAGCCCTCTGTACAGATTATGCCCCAGAAAGAGACGAGATTGATGTCACTGGATACATCGTGTGGGCTGTACAAAGTCACTATTGCTTGATAAGAATAAGTGCACATTATAGGACAGATATTGGTCCACATCGTTTGCTTTCTGTCTCAAGAGGAATCAGATGACATGTTGGATGGAATAAAAAAACAAACAAACTAGAATTCATCCAAGCTCATCGAAGTTAATCTAATTTCAAAGAAATGCCCCAGTTCACACTCTCTTTTAAGTACCTCTAAATCCTAAAACATAAAGACATTTGAAGTAGTCTTTTCTGTGTTTACTCATTAATCATCTTCATGAGGCCAACAATGCGTTACTGTGTCAACCTCCAGCTCATATTCTTAATTTATTGCCATCAGTGAAATGAACTCCAGGTTTACAAGTGTGTCCTCTGCTCGTAAAATGCCAACATCTGCAGCAGCCTCTCACTGCAGCAAATCAAAGCAGAGCAATATGGAAACTAATGAGTTAAAAAACAAGATTCTACTTTCGTTTAGGGGGCATGTAAAATAGTAGAACATCATGTTTCCCAAGATCACAATTCAAGACATTTTCTCCCTGAAAATGTGTGTTTCACCAGCGCTGTGGCTCATTTTCAGTTTGTGTACAGGTCACGGGAATTGGATACAAACCGGTTCCTTCGTCCCTGAGTGACTGAAGAGACTAAAACAAACAGCAGCACTTTTCATCAGGCAGTGTAAATGTTTGTGTTTGAGAAATCATGGGTCTAGAGGACCTCCGGGGACTCTCTGAGGTGGCAAAGACGAGAAAATAGTTTAATTTAGCCCATCTGTGATCCCACTCATTGATTATTATTTGGATGAGAGGATGGGCTTCTCCCCCCTGTTGCTTTCAGTAAGCGCAATCCGAAAGAAAGAGAAGCCGAAAGTCTTTTTCAGGACGTTATCTAACGGCCTCTTGTAGCAATGAGAAGTTTACGAGCCCACACCGACGCCTGTAAGGACTGGACGGGGAGGGACTTTCGGGACACTACATGCGCAACAAGTCCAAGGGCGCATAAACTGCGTGATGACAAAGAATGACAACACGGCATGCAGCGGTTCAAACAGAAGCACTTTAAATGGATCATGAAGGGAATATTTCTTGAATTCTCCATGCTGCCAGCGCGAAAGGTAGTGTCGCCAAAAAGTTTGACTTTGAAAACGCACTTTTGGAAGTTTTCTCCAGAGCACATGACAGAAGCCGGCTTGTAAGACTGCTGTTCAGAAATGTCAGCATTTAATATCCGCGATGTTTAACTTTATTCCTGGTTTAAAAGCAATAAAACAGCGAAAGTATTCAGCTCATTACAGCGCAGCAGGTGACGAGCGGGATTTGGGATCTGGATTTCGGCTCAGGAACGGAGGAAACTTTAATGTAACGGGAGTCAATGTGAAATGGTCCCCGTTTGTCACAGAAGCTGGGACGACATCACTTGAAAATAGCGTGTTTCTTTCCTTTTTTTTCCTTTCTTCTTTTTATATTTTAACTTATCTCAGTCCACAATGAGGGCGCTGACTTTATTGTGCGTAATAGTCCTGCTGTGCAAGTCGAGCCTGAGCAATAGAAACTGCCCGGATCTGATCATTGACAGCTGTCACTGCTCCGTTGAGAGGTCCAAGGAGTTGAGCAGGCAACAGGTCCGAATCAAAGTTGTGTGCGACGACGTGGATCTGATGGACACCTTACAGCCCAGCTTCTTACCCAACAGGACCGTTTCGCTGTAAGTAGGAGCAGTCAAGACTTTCACGTCACTAATATAAAGCGCACACACGAGGTAGTGTGTGTT